TAAGGTATTTAATCTACTTACCCTTTTTCTTTACTATTTTTATAAGTACTATTATTAACCTTTAGTACCCTTATTCTACTACTACTTTTACCTTTAAATTATATATTAAAGTTTAAATAACTTTAACGCTTATATCTTTTAGGATATACTTAAAGTCTTTCTTTATTTTAGGCCCTCTATCGATTATAGCGTATAGTATTACGCTATACCTATAAATAATAAAGAGTATAAATTTAGTTATAGCTCTTATAGTGGTTTCTTTAACTAAGGTTATTTCTACCTATTTAATAAAGTCGTCTTATACTTTTATAAGGTATAAATACCTATAATTAGATAGTATATACTAGCTATTAAAGTAAATCTTACTTATAGGGTAGCTAGGCGCGGTCGCGGTTATAACTTCCTAGGGTCTCTTAGTTATAAAGTATTAGTATTCTTTATAAGAAGAGATTACGCTATAAATATCGTTTTAAAGGCTAGCTTACTAATACTTATTCTTTAAGAACGTATATATAACTTATCGTCCTTTATATCCTATTTACGCGTAGTACTTTATAATAATCTTTTTCTATTCTTTTAAGTTATCTACGACTAGTATAGGTCCTCTTTCTTCCTTCCTAAGGAGTCGCTAAAGCTTTTAATCTTTAATATAGAAATTTAAACTCTTTAAATATAGCTTCCTATAATCTTATTTAAAAAGGCCCTTTAGCCGTTTTAACGTTTAAAGGAAGTCTATAATTATCCTCGATTCCTTTAAGTAGTCTATTTATAGCTTAGTCCCTTATACTATATTTAAGTAGAAGTCTATAAATTCTTTAATATCGCCTTCTATTTCCTTATTTAATATATTAAAAGGTCCTTTAGGCTTTCTTAAGAGTCTATTAGCTATACTATTCTTCTTACCTTTACTATATTATATAGTAAAGTTAAAGAGGAAAATATAGCTTATCTAGTAAGTTACTATAGCTCTAAGGACGTCTTTAAGGGCACCTTTTAATTAATCGACTAAGACCTATATATTAGTTTTTAAGATAAAGTATACGCTATATAGGGATATTCTTAGTCTTCTAAGCGTACTTAATATAGCCCTATACTCCCTCTTTATCGTATTATATTTAGGCCAAGACAGTCATGGTGAAGCGGACCATTTTGAATGGTTACTGGGAAAGTAATGCGACGGATAAGGGTCGAGATATGGTATAAGGAAAAGGGGGAAAGGAGGTTGGTGGCAAGTGGCAAGTAGTGCAGTTAAGGCCGGCTAAACTGACTTGAAGAAAGAAACTTAGGAGGCTTTTAGGTAGGTGAATGTGCTTTATTGGCGTACTGGTGTGTGATTTTAGATGACTTAAGGGAACAATGGATTGTCTTTATATATCTTTGGCAGTTCCGGGTTGCACTCTGCTCTGACTCTAAAGTGCCCTTAGTGCTCCATAGTAGGGTTCTATACACCTCGCGTTTGGCACGTCGCAGGATCAAACCAGCTGCTGTCGGGCATGTCACGCCTCACTCGCCCAAGTCAGTCCCAGAGCTGAGAGCAAGCAGAGGCCTGAATCAGAAGGCCGCTGCGAGCCCAAAGCCCTCCTGGTGGTCGGCTGTCCAAGTCTGACTTGGACGGTCAATCTCAACCTGCAGCCGGTCTGCCTTGTACGCCTGACGGCCGGGAGCGTATCGTCCCGAATCATGTATTCTGTGGCGAATATGGTTAGCAGTGTGTTGAGCCTCCGAATAATGGCTACATGGCGGCTCTCAGCCGTGTTTCCGCCCCTGTTTCCAGGAACGCCACGTTTCGCCGGGGCCCAGATTCTCGCTCAGGAGGTAGCACTGTCAGATCTCCGATATATAGTCAAGGTTCCAGTAGGCCCCACCTCGTTGGGGACCGAGGTGAATCAGTGTGCTCGGTCGAGGTGGCCATTGCAGCGTTCCGGAAACAAGCTCAGCAGGCGATCGAGCGGACGGACCCGGCAAACGGGTGCGAATCGCGCCGTTGACACCGCTAGCGTGACAGCAGACACCCTGAACTTGACCTCCATCTGCACCGCTAGCTATTGGTGGCCGCTGGATAACCCGGCACGCTGAATCGCGTAGGGCAAGGACCATGATGGTTTCACCGGCGAAATGTGAAACGGAGACTCCACGGCCGACCAGGAGATGCAAGAGCCATCGAGACAGCACAGCTCGCCCTTCTCCTTTCGTAGCAGGCTTGATTTTGCAACTCGTGGGCGAACTTGGCCGCGTTGAATTGACTGGAGGTGCTCAAACTCGAGATTGAACGGGTCAATTGGCCGGTTTTTCATACCGCCAACTGCTGTATCGAGCGCCGCGTTTGCATATGAGGCGCCTCGCTGCTGCGCTTCCAGGTGGACCAAGAGCTACCCCGCGGAGACAAACAAACCTTGTCTTCACCGAGGAGGGCCACTTACTGTTTACGGCCCTGACCCGTTCTGCGGGCCGTGGCGAGGATAACAAGAACTGGGGTCTAGCTGCGGGTAGGAAGAGGAAAAGAAGAAGGGTGGCGGTCGGCCAAGCACTGTGGAATCATAGCCCCGAAGAGAAGAAAGGCGCAAAGTCAATCGGGAAGGATGGACGTCACGAGACAGTCAGAGATGCGCTGCCGTGATCCACGGGATAATCTGCTGCAGCTCCAATTAGGGGCGGCAGAAAAGCCCGAGCATACTTGTGCGGAGGGCGGAGGATCATTTTTGTCCGGTTCTCGTCATCAATGATGGAGGAGGAAACAAGGCCACGGCACAACCTCTTTCTACAGCATAGGGGCTGCCTCCATGTGTATGTGAAGCGCCCTCCTCGATCTAGCTTTAGGCTTCAACTTGCCATTAATTGCCGAATGTCGATACCACGTCCAAGTGCTGGTAAAACAGAAACGATGGCGTCGAAGAGTAGCAACAATACGTGACGCATCGTCGATTGGGCATTTGGCAATGGCTCCTGGCATTCCAACTACCACTACGACTGCGAAGCCGATATTACGGAGTCGATGGACTCTAGCCAACAGCCGATGCATGGGCATATGATGGGCATAGGATGGCTGGGGCCGACCTATGCTATGCCACATGTGCATGGAAGTTAATCCTGATCTGCTACGCAGATGCTATAGTCTAAGCCAAGCGTGTGGACCTCGGATTAAAAGTACAGCGGTAGTACAGCAGTAGTACAGCGGTAGTACAGCAGTAGTACAGCGGTAGTACAGCAGTAGTACAGCGGTAGTACAGCAGTATGCGGAGCAACATGGGACTTTTAGCCTTTAGGTAACGTCTTGATCAGAGCCTCGAAGCCGGAACCACCGTCTTGTCCATGTCTGTGCACATGTGGTTGTACGAAAGTGAGTTTCGAAGGCCTGGTCAATTTCACTCACGACTCTGAGACTCGTCGTGACCCTCCAACTCGGCGCTCTTGTCCTCTCCAAATAAATCTTAACAAGGATTTTGACACCACATTGGTACCCCGGGCGTCAATGCGCCCAAGATATCTCGGACTACGGGTCCACTGCATCCCATCTTCAAGTTGGCTGTCCTCAGGGTCCCAAACACGGGACGGCGAGGGGTTTCGGACCTCCAGTCCTTGTCTGAGCACCGTGTCAGCACGGGACTGCGTCTTGGGGCTGCGTCCTGGGGCTATGCTGATTGCTGATGAGTAGGATGGGTAGGGACCTCGATGACGACGCAAACTGTACAGTACATCGAGTTATTACTTGCCGCAATCCCTTGCCGATCGGGAAGTTGACCAATGAGAATGCTGTGCTTTAAGCGGCACTTGGGCTCACTAGGTAGTAAAGCTCGCTGGAAAAGAAGTCTCACTAATTAGCCTTGTCGATACTTGTCGCTTCGTGGTGAATTCCTAGAATCGCAGTCTCTTTAACTTTGATCCGCTTAACAGTGCGCAACTACCCAAGCTGTGCGCTGCCAAAGGATTGCCTCTCAATCAATACAGTAATACTGCAATACGTACCGGCAGTGGAACATTACTTATACCTTATTACCTAAGCTTACTTGGCTACTGTACGGACTTCGGGCACTGGGCGCCTTGCCTGATGAGGAGTGCCGCCAAACGCGGCGGGGACAACCGAGACTACTAAGGCAAAACAACAACACGATGGACCCAAACTGTGCCAAGGTCGAGGTACGAAGTATGTACGAATAAGAGCCACAAAAACAGGGGCGAACCCCCCCTCGCAACGGCGGTACGAGCCCGACGGAGGGGTGGTGATGGCTTCACTTTTCCAAACTCTCTCCTCTCTCTCTCTCTCTCTCTCTCTCTCTCTCTCTCTCCCTCTCACACCCACAGGGCCCACACAGGTCACACACACTGAATATGCTGCCCATACATATTACATACTTACAGTACTTGCAACCACGCGCATCTGACACCGATCCCCTCCCTTCCCAAAACTGCCGTGCAACGCCCCAGCCAGTCGGCTCCCGCCGTTTGATCCGCCACCAACGCCCGCCCTGCCTTATTAGAGGCACATAGCTGCTGCCTAGCGGCCCCCGGTAAGCGATGGATTGCTGACCTGCACCGAACCGCCGCCGTGGTACAAGCCAGGTACATTGGCCGGTTAACAGCCCCACGGCCACTTTGTGCTGGCCCGTGCTAACTCGTCCCTCGCCGGGGCAGGTATCTCGCTGTGTCTCACTGCGTCGTTCCAGCGCCTCAGCGCTCCGGGACTCGCCGTTTGGTGCTGCGTCCCAGGCTGCTGTTGGCCCGGGCAGCTGATCATGGTCAGCTGCAGCCGCGTCTCTGTCTCTCTCTCTCTCTGGCCATGGCTGCATTGTTATTATTACTCACCACCATCCTGTCGATCCTTGCGTCCAATGTGTCGCCGTGGCCCAATCAACCACGCCACAGCTGTATATAGCCCTGCCCGCTTCTGCTGCTGCCTCTTTCAGCTGCCTCCTCCTCTTCCTCCTCCCCAGCCGCGCATCTGCCCCCCGCAGCCTTGAAGCTCGGCCTCCTACCCAGCGCCTCTCTGCCTCGCAGCCGCCAACATGTCCGGCGAGAAAACCGACGACGCCTTGTGAGTCCCTCCAGCTCTCTTCGCCGCAGTCTGCCAGCTCACACTCGATCCCAGCTCGAGGCCCCGATGCAGCTGTTGATCACGAGAGCCATGGGCGGAAGCTGAGCGAGCTCATCGACAACTCTGCCGGCGAAATTCGCAACCCCCTCAAGGGCATCCCCCGCGAGGAGCTTCTCCAAAATGTCGCAAGGTTCCAGCAGGAAAAGGGCTTGCCCGAGGACATCCTGCCGCTCTTGACCAAGGGCGCTCTGGTTGCCCAGGATCCCGCCGCCTTCGAGGACCTGCCTGACCTCAACGACCACGACAGGCGCGCTCTGAGGAAGAAGTCACCACCGCTGGAAGCATCCATGGGCCCTCTACTACACAATCGTCCTTAATTCCATAGCCGCCGCCATCCAAGGATGGGATCAGGTTGCCGCCAATCAGCCTCTTCCCGAGCTGCCCCGAGCGCTAATCAGGACATGCCTCCAGACGGGCTCAAACGGGGCCAACCCAGCTTCCCCTCGCCCTCGGCATCCGGACACCGCCGGCTCTGCCTGTGGGCCAGTTGCCAACGCCGGCGACTGCGCCAAAACAGCTGGATCATAGGCTTTGTCAACTCCATGCCCTACATAACCATTTGCCTCTTGTACGTCACAAGACAGCCGCCCTCGTGCTGTTCGTACTGACCCGCGGCCCCAGTGCCGGTTGGATATCCGACCCTTGAACGACTTGCTCGGTCGCCGAGGCGTCATCTTTGTCGCCGCCATCTCTCTTGCTGGCGCCCTTTGGCATGGCCGTCTCCCAGACCTGGGGACAGCTTGCCGCCCGCCGGTCGGCAACCCTTTCCCTTTGGTTTTCAAGGCTCGGCGCTGATCCTGGCCTCAGAATGCTCCTCGGTATCGGCATGGGACTGAAAGAAGTCACCGTCCCGTCTTCTCCGCCGAAAACTCTCCGGCCATCATCCGCGGCGGCCTAGTCATGTCGTGGCAGGTCTGGACGGCTTTTGCAAGAAATGCGTCGGAAAGGCCAAGTCGAGACTGCGGCGTGCCAGAAACTGATGCTGGTATCTGTAGGCATCTTCTTAGGAACTTGCGCCAATCTGGCAGTCGGCAAGACGGGCGCCATTGCCTGGCGACTCCAATTTGCCTCGGCATTCATCCCGGCCGTTCCTCCGTCATTGGCACCTACTTCTGCCCTGAGCCCTCGCTGGTGCCTCAAGAAGAAGAAGTACACCAAGGCCTGGGCCTCGCTCCTGCGGCTCAGAAACACGCCCTTCAAGCCGCCAGAGATCTCTACTACATCAACTGCCTGCTCGAGCAGGAAGAGGTCCTCGTTCAGGAAACAGGCGTCAGCACAAAGAGCAACATGTTCACCCGCTTCGTCGAGCTCTTCACCATTCCCAGAATCAGGCGAGCCACCTGGGCATCTGGCATCGTCATGATCTCGCAGCAGCTTGCGGAAGTAGCAAAGCCGCCCTTGTCCCGAGGGAAACCTTTGCCTCATTCACCAAGATCCAGCAAGCCAAGTTGCTTGGCTCCTGGGTCATGCGATGAGCATAGCTGACGGGAATTTTGCTGTCCAGTCAACATCATCTCTTTCTACAGCAGCACCATCTTCAAGCAAAGCGGCATCTCCGATTATACCGCTCTGTGGGCCAGCTTTGGTTTCGGCTTGATCAACTTCGTCTTTGCCTGGCCTGCTGTCTGGACGATTGATACCTTTGGCCGCCGAGCTCTTCTGCTCTTTACCTTTCCAAATATGTTTTGACTCTACTGGGTTTGTTGAGCCATTGCTGAGACGTTTGATTTACCTGCTGATGTCTTTGAATAGCCGCCGGTCTTTGTTACCTCATCGAGCCAACCGTCGAGCAGAGTACCGCCCGGATCGCAGCCGTGGCGACATTTGTTTACCTCTTTGCCGCATTCTACTCTCCTGGTGGGTACCTTGTTCCCCTGGCTTCTAAAGCTGAAGGGGAAAGTCCAGCATGTCCTTGATGCTAATCATTCCCACAGGCGAGGGCCCCGTGCCGTTCATGTACTCGGCCGAGGTCTTCCCCCTGTCTCATCGCGAGATCGGCATGTCATGGGCCGTGGCGACCAACAACTTTGGGCCTCGGTGCTCTCCTCACCTTTCCTCGTATGCTCATTGCCATGTCGGCTCCTGGCGCCTTTGGCTTCTACGCTGGACTGAACCTGCTGGCCCTATTTCTCATCTTCTTGTTTGTGCCCGAGACGAAGCAAAAGACACTCGAGGAGCTGGACTGTTTGCTGTTTCCGACCGCAAGCATGCCTCGTATCAAATGTTCACAGTCCCCCTGGTGGTTCAAGCGATGGATCCTCTTTCGACGCGGTGCGCCCTGTCCGATCTTTACCACGACGCCAACGCACAAGATTACCATGACACGAGCGCAGGGGCTTATCACGAGAGGATCGTAGAGACTTACGACGACACCAGCGCAGGGGCTCACCGCGGCACCACCACAGGAGTCTCCACCAGTGAACATGGACGTGGATATTTAGGTCCGCGGAGCCTTCGCAAAAGAGAATACCTCGACTCAGGCGACGCTGTACTCGACTGCCAGGGCTTTGTTGTACAGGCGAGATGATGTGTCCTGCAATGGAAGCCCGTGGCAACGGTACATATTTCCAGGGAATGCCTGGACGTGTACAGAAGGGTGGGTAGAGTATATAATGCGACCGTCCGTCCTCGAGGTAGAGAGGAAGCCAGGGTGGTTTTCATATATGGAAAGGTGTGCAATCCATACTGAGTATCGCCCCACATTTATTGCAAGTATTGCAATACACCTTTCCATTCTTGGTCCGTGCGCATCCCGCAACAGCTCACCTATATGGTCTCGGCAAACGTGCCAAACACGACATGAATCAATGAAAATCAAGGAACAGTTAACGTGAACGTAATGACAGACGACCGGTAAGGGGATAGCAGAAATTTGCTCTTTTGCAGGAAACAGGCGTAGAAGTTGAGCCAGGATTTTACCCAAAATCTGGGGACCCGCCACCACCCTCGGCCCCTTGCAAGATATCGTTCTTGAGCCAATGCTTTAAGCATTCTCCTTTCGACTTGTTTCGCGTCCAATTGGGCTCTTTCCCATGAGATTGTGCGACGCGCCCTGAGAACACCCGCTCAGGTTCATCACTCATCGCCGGCATTGATAGGATGTCTATGGCCATTTGTGATAGCTTGTGCCATCGTTTTCTGTTGCTCTTGAAGCCACCATGACAAGGCCGTCGTCGGCGTAATGTCGTACGGATCACATGAAATGTAATCTTCGTACTCGTCCTGGCTTGACGGTCGAGTGCAATTCTGCAGGTTCCTTGAAATGCGATCAAACGCGTCAAGGTCCTCGTCATCATCGTCATCTAGTAAATGTTGCGAGAGGGCGCCATCCACAGTGTCTCGGTATGTGAGCCAAAGGTCTTTGACCTGTTTGAACGCAGGTTTTTGCCACTTCTTCTTCCAATTTGCCTGGATGTATGTTGTGCGATAGCTGGGATGAAGGATCAAGGCAGCTGCATAATAGGGCGATGCTTCTGTCTTGCTATAATATTTGTCAAAGACTTCCCACCCTCGTTTGATCCTAAAGGACAGCTCGGTGTCTGATTTGTACGAGACCTATTGCACCATCTCAGCGCTTGCACAAGGAGATCAGAGGAATGGAAGGCATGGTACCAGGGCTTCATCAAAGCATCGGATCAAGACGTCCATCGTGAAGAGCACTTTGTCCAGGGTCGCATGATCCCCTTGTGTTGCTAATGTCGCTCGGGCGAACGGTTGAAGGATCTTCTCAATTATTCGGAGCCGGGCCCAATCTTCCGGCAATAGAAAATCTGCAGAAAGATCTTCGAAATGATTCTGGTGTAGGTGTCCAGAGCGCTGGCAGTTTCTGCTGAGTGGCAACATGCAGCATTTGATACCAGCTATTCCACCTCGTACGATTGTCAAGTGGAATGCCCTCTCAGCGAGTTCCATAAACTCCACTGCGTCCTGATGAACTCCGGATGTTGACAACCAGGTTGTGGAGCTTACCAAGTGGTCCAAGGCGGCGAAATTCGGTGCGCTGCCTTTGAACTTTGCCAGGTCATCTGCGTCTTCGCATATTTCGCCCTCTTTCAAGTCAATAGAATTCTGGAACAGGAAAGCTTGAACTGCCAAGTTGATAACGTGGCCTAGGCATCGGAGGCGGTGAACTTCAGGATCCCATTTGACGCCCTCTTCTTGAGATACGTGCTCACTGCCCGGCAGAGGGTGTCATTCGTGCTCGAATTATCCCCAACGATGCTTCCAAGGCGTCGCAGAATACCAAAGTCCCGCAAGATGGGAAGAAGTGTAACGAATTGCTCCTCCCGGAATGGTTCGCCACAGGCCGAAGTGCAAGGAGAGCTTTCCGTCGTGCTTCTTGTGCGTGGTCAACAGTGGAGCAAACTCGAGAAGAAGGAGCCGATTGGGGACGTCCAAATGTCAAGCGAGAGGTGAACCTTGGATTTTGCTGACTGGAGCTTCATTCGCACGATATCCTTGGCCGACTGGAAATGATTGTCGATAATTCGTGGAATAGTCGAGTGGGCGGAAGGGAGATAGTCCTTCGCGACCGGGTTCAAGGTCGAAATGAAGAGGTGAAATTCGCGGATTCGACAATCGATAAGGAAGGTTTCGTGCGACGATCAGCAAAGCTAAGGCTTTGTTTATCTTGTCTTGGTCCAGGTAGCGTTTGAAGACCTCCGACTCAATCTCCGTTGTGCGGCCCAAGTCCCGTGCTTGCTGGTAGAGTTGCTCAAACCCTCAAAGATGGACGATTGAAGAGGAGTCAAATCTTCCACGACTCGAATATCGTGCTTTCCTCCAGATGTTTTCGAAAGTTAGTGGTAACTGAAGTTCTGTACGGCTTTGTCTGGGGACAATGACTGCAATAGAGAAGGCGATTTCGGCCCTTAAACTCTTCCTCCCCCTCTGCTGCAACGCGAGCATGCTTCCACGTTGCGATAGCCGCTTTGCCTCTTGTATTGCGAGATCTTGATGTCGTAGAGTCCGACAAAATAGATTCAGCATCGAAGAAGGATAACGTACTTGCAGTATCCATAGTTCGACAACTGACTCGTCCGACGCGTTGGTGCAAAATGGTGGGGAAAGCGATTTGTGTTTGTGTGGGAATTAGCGGTGTTCAAGGCCCTCAGACCCCTGGACGATGGCGCTGTAGGGGTCCCGGTCAGTGGCGCAATTTGGCCAATTATCGACTGAGTATTGAAATACTATGGATCCATATCCATACCCTGTCCATGCCATAGTATGGAAAGGGTATTTCCATACTTGTATGGAAAACCACCCTGGAGGAAGCACCGTGACGCCTCGGGTGGAGCGGCGAGGCTCGCTTGCGTTGCATCCTGCGTGGTGGTGGATGGGCTTTTCTTGCAACATAATGATGGGCCGGAATCGGCAGCGGCTGGATTGTTTGATATGAGGCCGCATGAACAAACTTCTTTTCATTCGATGCTATACCCACACTCTGTGTGTGCCGACGATGGACACGTTTCGAGGTACGATGTGTGTTTACAATTCAGGACCGTGTAACTTACTTGGCGACGCTTGAGTGCGCCTGCGGTCGTGTTCGGAGCGGTAACGTCTGGAGTTGATGTTGTCGGGACCTTGCGTCCAAGATGGCGCGCGCACACACTCACACGTAAATGTTCAATTCCACGACCCGTGTAACTCTCTATACTATACTTGCGCCAGGTGGAAGGCGGCAGCTGCCTAAGCATGCTTCGGGCTTGTAGCCGTTCGCCAGAAAACAACAAATATGCGCGCCATGATTTGGTTGAACAAAGGGTGTTCCTGGCCCCTAAACGAAAAGACACAGACGGGTAGCGACCCTGCTCCAACTCCCCCGCGGAAACCGCTTGTTCCGCGTCAAGACTCGGTTTTCATGGCAAGTGAGAGATGGCTCTGCCCCCATGATTGGGTCTTGTCTCGCGACTTGACCGACTCAGCCGGGCTCTCTCCCGAGACAACCAGGACCTCGGGCCCTACCACGGGCTTTGGCTCGCCAGGTTGACCCGGCCGGCCTCGGGCCTGGTCGCCCTGCGCGCCTCGTCGAGCTCGGCGTCGACGTCCCACGACTTGACAAAGTCGGCGATTTCGCGGAGCATGTCCTCGACCAGCTCCATCGGCTCCTCCGACTCGTCGGACCCTCCGTCTGCCTCGTCCCCATCTCCGTCGAAGGCCTCGTCATTAGAACCCCCGACGTCATCCGCCGCCGGCGCCGTCTCGGCGCCGGGCCCCACCTCGTCCGCTGCCAAAAAGGTCCTCGCCATGCCCTGCATGCCAGGGCTCTGCAGGGCCTGCTGCGAAGCCGTCGGGATGAGCTTATGCCGCTGGCCGTCGGTGCGGCTGGCCACGGCTGCAAAGTGCTTGCTGAACCGCGACTGTTCCGAAACGGGCAGGTCCTCGATCGGGGTGGCCGGCGGGGAGACTTGGCGGAGCCTATGCCGCAGAGGCAAGGATTTTGGCGTCGGCTCGGGGTTGCGTGTTCTGCTCGTCCCCAAGGACTCCCTGGTCCTGCGGCATCAACGCCCAGGAAACCCGGCGGACGGGGCGCGAGCAGCTCCACGGGTTTTTCATGGCCGAGGAGGGCCGCCGCCCCGTCGTCGCGGACCGTTGGACGCCCTCTCTGCCCGCGGCTCCGTCCAGGCGAAGGAGACAGAAACGAGGCAAAAGTCTTGACGGCAAACTGCGGCTCCGGCGTGGACGGCCGCGGCTGAGGTTGAGGCTGCGAATTCGAGACATTCCCGCCGTGGCTGCCGCAGCCATCAATGTCCACGGCTGCACCTGACTCGGCTGCTGCAATTGCGTCAAGTTCAGCGTCACACGACCATGGACTCTGCGCTTCAGGCGGTAGCCTGACGGGGCGCGGTGCCAGGCTGCGATGGCGACTCTTGTCCCCATGGCTTGGCGTTCTGTCTACGGGTAGTAGGGCCTCTCGCTGTGTAGGCTCTGCACGTGCCCAAGGGCTTTGTTGTGAGGCCGCAATCCAGGTTTCATTTAATCTCTCATCCATGTTCGTTTGATTGGCGTCCATGCCTTCATCAGCTCCTTGTTCAACTGCGTTGCGGTCCTGCTCCGACACAGCGTCTACAGCTGCAGACTCGGCCATCATGCCGGGTAGAGCAGCTACTTGCATCTCTTCCGGCGCAGAAGAATATAGCCCAAGGCCACTGTGCTCGCTGGCACCACGCTGTGACGTATCAGATGCGTAAAGATCTGCTCTTCAGGCCTGGTGTTGCATGGTGTGCTGTCCATCCTGGGTCGAGAGATGGGTGACGGTCCAAGGCTTGGAGCCGGCTGCGGATGTCTGGACCATGGGCTCAGCGGAGCAAGTTTATTCAGTATGCTCTGATGGAGAAGTCGCTTCGGGTACCTTCTGCAGAGAGACTCGGCCTCTCTCTCATCGAAGAGTCGCCTTGCTCGGCATGTACAGCAGCATCCTGCAGGCTGCGTTGGGCTTCGACAGACGGAACGAGCTCTGCCTCCTGAGGGGCCATCGGATGGCGTGAAGAGGGTTCCGCCTCCGATGATGGGTCAGCAACAGCACTTTGCGGCAGGGCTGAGGGAACCAGCGTCTCATGCTCCATCTCAATCGCCGAGGATGTCTCGTGCTGTGCTGTTGGACGATCGAGTTCGACACTTTCAGGTTCGGGAGCTGGTTCTCGACAAACAGAGTGTGACGTTAGGGAAATGGCCGATGGCAGAGGCTGGGCCACAGTTTTTGCTTCTTCTTTGGACTCAATGGCCAGCGAAGAACATTCAAGCCAGACTGCACGGGCGACATAGCATGGATAGCCTGCTGGGCGATCTCGGCCACGTCTTCCTGTGCATCATCATACACCACTTCCTGCTCGACTTGAGAGGTGGCACCACAGGCCAATTCCTGATCCCAACCATCTAAATACCGCTCCATAAATCGCACGTGGAACTCGTCGATGTCGTCTGATGACGGAATGGACTCGGTTTCGTCATCGTCGCGACCGTCGCTTTCGTCCTCCGTTGGACCATTTTTGTCCACATGCGACGACCTGTCCTCGGCGGCTTGCATGTCGCTCAATGGTTCCTGTGAAGACAAGTTAGGGCGACGCAGGCTGATTGGGTTCATCCGGCAGCGCTTGATCGAGGACCTCGGCTCTCTCCAACGCATATCGCATCTTAAAGCAAAAGCTTTGATCCTGCTGCGTCCCGAAAGGAGCCCAGTCCTCGTCGAGGACCATTGTGGCTCGTCATCGCGCTGCCCGTTTCATTGCAGCAGTCTTCTTCAGCTTCAACTTTAATGTTCCGCCAGCTTGTCTGGATGGGGATGTTTTGGCTGTTGCGAAAGCATTCGGCACTTCCTTGGTCGCGACGTTTGAAGCGCACTTGGCGAGGTCCCATGTCGCTGGGAAACAGAGAGAGGAGAGTGTTGCCGCGGCTGCTTCATTCTGGCTCAACTCGTCTGCCACGCCGCCGACATGCAATATGGCAGACCTCCAAACATGTTGCCTGGGAGGTGAGCGCTTCGCTTGACGCGGACAGCCGGAGACGCTGGGAAAGGCGGCATCTGGCGTGTTCGTCATGAGTTCGTCGTCGTCGGCGTCATTGCTTTCGTGTTTAATCTGTGGCCGGTGTCCCGACAGCGACTTTCGTGCAGAGCCGATATCGTCGCCCTGGCTTTTCGACGCCGCTAG